AATTTTTAAGGGGATGGCGGGGGAAAACAAAAATCATCTATCAAAACTTTGTAATTGACAGCTAGAGAAAACGCTTGCTATTAGACAATTGCCTTTAGGGTTCGAACCCCCAACCCCCCATGAAGCCGAAAACCAAGGCAGCAACAGAGCAGCAATTTATCTGCCTGAATTTGACGCGAATTGCACAAACAATTACGGAAACGCCGGGTAACTTCTTCTAGTTCATACATAAAACATACAACAAGCAAATGTTATTTTATGGTAAGTTCTTATATTTATACCCTGAACCAATTGAAAATGGGTAAATGGGTATAGTGCTTATTTCCACAAGTATGTAACAGGCAGTAGGAAACATATACGACCCCTTAATCCTGCGAGAGAGAGAAAAGAAACTTCAAACACGTCGGTCCTATTGTCCGCGCAGTACAAGTTTGCTACCGATAATCGATAACTTGTCCCGTTTCCAAGCAATCGAAAAGAAGCGATATCGAATTCATGTCTCTTTAGTTTTAAGAGCTAGAGCCACCAACTTTGACATGTAGCTTTCAGAATAGTATATACAGATCGAGAATCCTTCATTTCATAGCTCTTGCCACGAAGAATGTTCAGTGTATCCCCTAGTCGGCCACTCCCGACTGCTTGCTTACTTGATCTAATTATTTCAAAGCTACAAAACAATTTGCTACAAATGTTGCTCAGCTCCAGTCCAAGTACTAACCTCTTCCATATTCTTCATTTGAAGAACTTGCTGAGTCCTTTTCGATTTACTGACGTAATGTGTAATAATATTGAGGACCAAACTCCAAAACCGAAAAATACTATTATTAAAAATGGTATTATTTGTAGTATTTTTCATTTTGTTTAGCCGGATATTTATTTTGATTTGAAAGTAATATGAAAGTAGTTTTGCTTAGAGAATTCTGTTTCTGTTGATGGCAAAATCTTGAGTCTTCGCTGCCTTACTCCAGAAAGTAGTACGCTTGCTGCTGATTGGTTGGAAATTAAAGGTTTTTATTTCCAATTTTTACTGCTGATAATATATATCTCACATAGCTGTCTTATAGTCTATAGAAAGAAATTGGAAAAAAGCTAAGGTATTATATCTTTGACAAACCGATAATAACTTTTCTTCTCTCTCTCTCCCTTCCGTTCTTCTTCTGGCTTTCTCTATCCCTCTCTTTCACTCCCTTTTTCCGTCTGCCCGCTTTCATCAATTGCCATTCTCTATGCTCAGTGTGACCATGTGCTATTAATAACAAATGAAATTGCCGCCAGGCTAATGCACAGCACTTTGCCAAGTTGTCCACAACGCAGTGTGACAGCTGTTGTTGTTGCTTGTTGTGGCTCGTTGTTGTTGTTGTTGCTCGTTGTTGTTAATACCATTAAGCCACACGTGCCATTGTTTTTTTTCTTGGCAATATTGTTGCTGCTGTTGCCATGGCACAAAAATAAATGCAACGACGTGATTATTATGCAATTTGTATCAATTTACTTTAGATATGGCGCACAGCAACAACATCTACGCCTCCCCCAACCGCCCCCTTTGCGAGTACTTCGAATTGTTGTTTATTTATGCATTTCACTTATTGCATGCAACTCTTGTTCCCCACCCCCGCTGAGCTAATTCTTAATGCCTCAAAAGGCCGCCCTTAAGTTGGCTTTATTACAAATAGGAATTATTATTGATATAAGTGTTGGTGGTGGTGTGTGTCTATGTGTGTGTGTTTTATGTACAGCTGAAACAACATGAAAGAACTTGTCCTAACTCCTGGGAGAAGCTTTGATGCTGACCGAGCGGGGCTGGCAGGGAAAGTCACTTAAGACATTGCCGCAACGTGCCGAAAGTTTTCTGATGCTTGGACAAGCGCCTGTCACACGCATCCTCCAACCACCCAAGCACCACAAACGACATACACACACACACCACCACCACCACCATACAACATTACCCCTGCTCCCACCCACTGCGCTGGGCACTGTCACTTGTGTCTCTCAAGTTTATTAAAGTGGCATAAAAGTGTCATTGGCGGTTAATGGTAGGCGATTAGTTGCATTAAGTTGACCAGCACCACCCACTCAAGACAGCGCCAACCACTTTCTTTCTCCGCCCCAGCTCATCAAGTGAGTGCGTAATTGAATAGCAAACGCAGCACAACTATCTTAGAGCAATTTAGGGCTACGGGACATTGCCTGCCTTTATTTGGCTGACAATCAATCAGTTAATTGAAGGTCAACGCTATCGATTGCTGGCTATTCAGTTACTTATATAGTAATATATAGTTAAATAGTTGCTAACTTTATCTTTAGAAAGCTTTTACAGCTACTTACAGTTTACTTGCACGTGTGCGCACATGTGAAAGATTTCCGTTTACTTAACTGAACATTTAAACTGTTTGGGAATTCTAAAATGTTATATGAGGGGCTCATGATGAAGAGATAACTGCTTAGTTATATAACAATATGTTAGCTTAAATAGCTTACTAAATTTTGGAATTTCTAGGTTACCTTGAATTTGCGTTTGCCTGAAAACTTAAACATCTGGGAATCACAATAAATACTTCGCTATAAGTATATATCGCGTATAAAGTTAAAAAGATAGCAAAACAGACTTTTGCTATAAGTGTAAATTTGTATTGCCAGCCAAGAGGCTGGCAGCTAAAAACTCGGCAAGAGAACGTAGCAGAACTTATTGAAAAGTCATAAGAGCCATAAAATATAAAAAAATGTCATTGCACAGGCACAAGGGCGCCACCAAAAAGGGTGTGTCTATAACGGGAGGGGGTGGGCGTGGCAAAAGCTTTAACTTGTCGCAAAAGCCGCATAAAATAAATACAACGTGTAAGGTGGCAGGAGGACGAAAGGCGGCCGGGAGCGCTGGCAAATGGGATAACCTGATATACATTATGCCAATGCGATATACCCGCAAGCAACGAAATTGTTTTTGGCCTCGTCTTCGTCTTCGTCTGGTCGGGCTTTTGCTTTTGTAAATCATTTAACACACTCTCGATTTTTATTTTAATGGCGTTGCCGGAAAGTTTTTAATGGCTAACGCAACGGCATCCGCAGCTCAACTACAGCAACAACAGACTTCGGTTTCGGTTCCTCGCATTATGGCCATCGATAATATGCACAGTGTTTGGCTAAGTGGCAGGCATCGAGGCATCAAAGTTCCTTTATAGCATGCCACAGCGCTCTCAAGATGTTGCCAACTCTCATTGCGAGCGATGTGTGCCTGTCTGTGTATGTGTGTGTGTGTGTGTGTTTGTGTGCGTGTATATTGAATTATTTTCTGGCAACGTTCGCAAATGTTTATTGCTCAGCATATTTCGCAATTTTTGATGCTTGTGAATTTGCTGAGCTTTATATACAACTTCTCAAGCACTATACAATTGTTTTTACGATCGCAATAACGCATATTTTTTGTTGGCCAGTAAAATGTTTGCGAATGCCGCTCAAGAGGGAATTGAAACCCAACTAGACATTCACAATTTGTGCAAATTTAATGTATTCCAGAGCTCAAAATGCCAGCAGAACGTTTAAGAATGCTGCGCAAAGAGCAATTGCAAAAGCTATATAAACAACTTAAATAGAATGGAAGAAAAATAGACTAAGCAATAAATTGAACTCTGGGCATATTTTTGGTCAAGTGTTGACTAAATTTCAACTTGCTTGTGACCTTTTCTCTCTCATTCTCTCTTTCCCCCTCTCTTACGCTCTCTCCGGTAACGCCTTGCAGCTTGCATATGTGATATGCACAGGCGTCAAATGTTAGCGGCAATGTCAGCACCAAAGGTCCTGCAGGAGCGCCCCGTGTACAACTCATGAAATCGCAATGCATGCAGCGCACACTATGTTGTGTGTATGTATTTGTGATAGTGTGTGTGTGTGTGTTAATGATAATCATGAATATTATGCTGCTTGTTTGGTGTGTATTTTGGGCTCTGGACAAACTGTTTGCCTGTTTGCCCAACACAATGTTAATATGCTGAGCCAGCGTCCCAAAAGCCAAACCACCGGGCGCATTGTTTAAATATTTGATTAGTTTTGGCTTTGGCCAGGAGTCATCTTTTTCTAAATACCCTGTAGCTTCTCGTTTGGTGTTCACCAATTTATTTTCCTCTTAACAACGTGAATAAATTATTTTTTAAGTCACAACCTGGCGCTTTGGCGTGTGCACGCAATTGTGATGCCATAATTTGGCACTGAAAATTTCATAAAAATTGGACCATAAATAATGCAGTTATTGGAGAATGCATTTCTCAGTGTGGAACTGAGGGAAGAAGAAGAGCGCAGCTGCGTTTTTGTGTATGTATATAGAGCTGGAGCTAAAATGTGTGTAGCGCTGAGCACAGGGTATCTTCTAGTTAAGCACTCCCCGCTAGAGCACTCACACTAGTTTTTTTTGACTGTGTTTTGTCGAAAGACTTTTGTGCGCAATAAAATCAACTTAATTAAAGTTAAACAAGCAGCTAATCAAATTTTCATTACATAGTCTTAACCGGCTGCCAGACCCAGCTCCAGCCTCTTCAGCTCCAGACAGTTAACTAAACGTGGCGTAATTTCATTTTAAAAATGCATGCTGTGCATGTGTGTGCTTGTGCAAGTGTGTGTGTGTTTGGGCAAGAGTGTGTTTGTGGTTAACAAGAAACTATTAGCTGCTCCTCGGTAAGGAACTGCCAAAGTCTGGCGAAATGCTTGTTTGCTTTCGGCTTCATTTTCGCCCAGTATAAGGTTTTGTGACATTTGTATTTAAAATACCCTATTAAAAATGGATAAGTGAGGTTATATGGGAAATATCAGTGATATGATAACAGTGATATGATCACACGCTGTACTTAAATTATTCTATGTTAAATATATATACGTTTTCCTCGCTCTCGCGAACCCAAAGGCAGGGAGCTGGTTCGAACCGTAAATCGAACCAGCAAAAGTTTTTTATGTCCTGCTCTTAAACAACATCTATAGATCCTTCTAATCAACACAGAAGTTACTCAATTTAATTTATTGAAGAATGAATAAGTATGTATAAGTAGCCGATAAGTAACCCGAATGTATGTGACGGCAATGGGTACAGGGTATCTACCAGTCGCTCACTCTCCACAATAAATGATACTTAATTTTTGTGCTGCTCTCCAAGACGCAGGTGCATTAGAATGTGCAGCAGGTGGCGGTCTTGGCTTGACCATATCTTTATCAGCTGTTCCGCACACACACGCACACACACACGCACCTGCTTAAGTGCTCAACTCAGTATAACAGATGACAGCTGTTCGCTGGCACCTTGGAGCCACCAGGCGCGCCACATGGTCGGCGTGCGTGACTCGTAATCATCGACATTATACTGCTCGATCTCCTCGTCGCAGCTCCAGCTCCCGAGAATGTTGGGCCGCTCCGCCAGGCTCGCGTTGGAGCTGAGATTGTGAGAGCTGTTGTTGTGCGGCTGTGTGGTGATTGTGATCATCAGCTCGGGTGTCAGGTCCTTTAGCTGCAGCTCCTGGCACTGCTGCTGGCTGGCCGCTGGCGAGGAGCTGCCGTAGCAGCAGCAACAGCAGCGACAGATCTTGAGACACATTTTGGGGTGAGGGCAGGGCTAAAAGGGGGTAACTGGAATGAAGCAAGAAAAATGGCTATATGAAGGAAATGTGTCACAATGGAAAAGCTAATTAGGGAAAGAGTCAGGAGGAGGGAAGAAAAGGGAAAAATAGGTTAGACAAAGAGCAGAAAAAATCATGAAGAGATTATGAAGGAGAGCTTCTGAAAGTAAGATGAATGGAAAGAGAGAAAGAGAAAAGAATAGCAAAAATTAGCTCAGAAAATGTTAATAACTTACACAAACAATAGATCACTGGGAATCCCGGGGCGAGGGATTCTGCCCCGAGTATCAGGAAAAAAGTGAACTGTTAACTCTCGAAATCTCTGCATCTAAGTCTGCAGACTGGAGAGGATTGGACGGTAGTCAAGGGTAGATCGCCACTGCTCCAAAGTTCTTCAGCAACGCATTGGCCTACGTCTCTGTGGGGCGATTGTGGCAAGCGTGAGTTGAGACTGTTGCAAGGCGGCGTTGCATGGTAACGTTTTATATGGACGCGAACAGAAATCTAACTAGACTTGCCTGCCACCACACCAGAAGCAATTCTCATGTTTACAATTTATGTTTTTTGCTGGAATTTTGCGCTGGCAACTGTTTTACCAGACAAAGAGCGAGAGAGAGAGAGGGAGCGAAAAAGAGTAAGAGAGAGAGTGTGAGAGGAAGAGAGAGTGAGTTGTGGGAGCAGCTCAACTGAATAACAAATTGTAACCGAATACAGTTTGGGGTATTCATAATCAACAGCTGCGACAAACTCGATTTCGTTTCAAATTTATGCAAAATTCTGTCGATAAAATAATTATGCGGATTATTATTAAATCACTTAAAATTCAAAATACATATTAATATAAATTATAATAAATTATAAATTAGGCTTAATACTGCGGCCATTCAAACAGTAGCTTAGGGGTTGGGCTTGTATGGGACGAGCAGGGGGGGGGGGGGGGGGGGGGGGGGGGGGGGGGGGGAATTGGATTGCGTTACCAATTTGCAAAATGCAAATGTGTTGACGTCTAAAATTTCACGCACACAATGCTGCTAAATGCTGACAGTTGGCCAAAAAGGTTGCTTAGCCGGAAAGGCAACGGGAACTGAAACCTGGTGTGAAATTTTATACCAGTTCAAAGAGAACTTTGAACTGCACACAATTGATTTGCCAGCATTTGCGCTCATGTTTTTTTTTGTTTATTGTCGTCCTTTGATTGATTCGGCCAAGCACCTGAGTAGAGTCAACTTTCAGCTAGCTAAAAGGCGTAATAATGTGCGCCATTGCCGAGATCCACATCCGTAAAGAGTTCAATTTCATCTTTAATTGCCACGCCCGAATAACGCTCACTGCAGGCGGCGGCTGTTTCATTGGGCAGCGTCAGGTCCGTCAGCAATTTGCTGGGATGCACATCCGCACAGATGCTAATCTCCTCGAGGCGTGCGGGCGAATGGGAGCCACGCATGGCCACCGCTGTGTGCATTGCCAGTTGCTCTGGCTGCTGCGCTGGCCGCAATGTGTGCGCCATCAGCTCCGACTCCGGGTCCAGCGCCCTGGGCTCCGGCTCCGGCTCTGGCTCCGGCTGCTCAACTTTGGTGTGACTGGACGGCTGCTGTTCGAGCTGATCGGCAAACATTTGCTCATCGTCCTGATGCTGCTTGAAGCAGAAGGCAAACAACAGGCACTCGGCAAAGAAGCGCATCGCTTGGCTGCCGGGCCAGAACTGGCCAGTGGGAACGGCCGCCAGCGGCCAAGTGTCGCAATTATATAGACCGCAGCCTCGCCAGTTCCAGTTGCTCAGTTAATTGAAATGCAAATTGATTTTTCACTTTTGTCAAAGGTTTGTCAGCTGTTTACTAATCGATCGAAGGCGAGGTCGCAGCAGCTGCTTCTTGCATTATTTTGTTATTTTGTTAATTGTGTTTTTTTCTTTTTTGTTTTTCCTTCAGCTCAACACAATTTCATGTTTTTCGTTTCAGACAGCTTCAATTTCAATTAGCTGGCTCTTGAGCGCGTGCCTCAGTCAAACACAATTTTCACTTTTCGTTGTCTACTTTTAGGCTACATATCCCACCCTCCCCTTAGCCATCACAGCAGTCGCCCCCAAACTTGTTCTCTAATGAGTTTTGCAATTATGCAAAGTTGAATATAATTACAACAGCAGCTTGAGCAGAAATTTAAAACAGAATTTAAATAAAAGCATCGACAACGGGGAGCTGGAGCTTATAAATACCCATACCGAATGCCCATCTACCCATAAACAATACGATGATAAACGCTGCCAACAATTGTTAAATGCGCTACCCAAATTCAGACCCTCGATCCCATCAAGCGTTTGGCTACACACAATACTAAGTGGGCGGAAAAGTATGCCTGATACAGTTTGTACAGTCAACACTCAAGAGAATTTCCTGTTCTCTCTTAATTTTGAATAGGTGTTGGCATCAAGACGAACGTTTCCGTTCAGGATTAGATTCAGTTTTTTTTTATACAGCTAATTCAATTAAGAACCTGATAATTAATAATACAGAATTGAATTTTCGGACTATGATATAGCTTGTACTATACTAAACGCTTCGTATAAGCCGATTTCATAGGGTGTTGTATAGTGAACAAAAGTATTTCAAATTTGCGGCATCATTAAATATCCTGAATATATTTTCTTGTGCAATTCCAATTGCTGGTAGTTCTACCTAAGCAGGGACTACTGTGCCATTCATATTGCTTCCACAAGCACAGAATAACAAATAATAAATAAATAATGAATGCCTTTGTGAAGAAGATTAAAAACAATGTATACAAAAATGTTTGAAATAATTTACAAACAACAGGATTCTACGTTAATGAATGCCTAAATATGAATACGAACGAAATGAAATGGGCTTCTTATTTATTCTGCTTTAAGCTGTAGTTCATCAAAGAGAAATGCGGTTGGCAACATTTTATGTGTCGCTATGATTCATTTAAGTGTTGTGCAACGTGCTTTTATGACATGAGCTCATTAAAATTGCGTGAACAAAAATGTGTATTATGATTATGTGTGAAAAGGAATGAGGAGAAGAAATGAAAGCATCTTTGATTCAATTCAGTTGACGACCAAATTTAATGTTTGCGATGTGAAGTATTTAATTTCATATATTAAATGCAAAACGAGCTTCTTTTCAATAGCTACCATTACAATAATATCGATAAATATCGATGATTTTGAAAAATGGTTTTTTAAGCATAGCTCGTAGATTATAAAAGCTAGATTCATCAAACTTGGTATGCTTGTTCATAGGTCCGCTTTTTTGTTGCAGCCAGTACATATGTCGGAAGCGGGCAGATCTGACAGCTATATCATATAGAACGATGCCATAGAAACGAGCTGTCCAATATTAGTTTCTCTGTTTTACTTGGCTCCTCATACAAATCCGAAAACTTAGTAGCATGGGCATTCAAGATCATGTAGCTGTTATAGGTCGATATACCAAGACATCTTGGCCAAGCTCATCTGTTATTAATCTTATTAAGATCGCACAAATATATTACATAGTTCTATAGGATGAATCAGTCGAGGAAAATAAGTTTTTTTATGACGAAATATTCTGTTTTCCAATATACTTTCATCAAGCTCAGCATAAACGAACTTCACTATGCTCACATGTCTGCAAAACCGCAGGGATAACATTTACAAGGGCATTAAATCTTCGGCGTGACGAGGGTAACCCTAATTTCTCTTCTTCTTTTTTTGTGTTGCCTCTTGTGGGCAGGCAAACTAGAAAAATATCAATGTCATTTACAGGCCTTGGGCTAAAATGGGGTTGCTGCTGTCAGTTGTGTGTGCGGTTGAGAATGTTGTTGTTGTTGTTGTTGTTGTTGTTAGCTGTCTGTTGCGTGTATTTTGTGCGTGTGCTTTTTTGCTGCTGTGGCACATCATTGCGGTTTCACATGGGTTGCCCGGCCATTTGGCACACTGTGCAGTATATGCTAAGGTTGTTGTTGCATGTTTATTTGGCTCTGGTCTCGTGCCTGTCAAACCAAGCGCATAACCGCAGCGAGACGCAGCAGCAACATCAACAGCAGCTCCAGTGTATCTACCCTGAATGGTGCTTGTTTTCGGTTGCACGTTTGTCGGCTGCCACGCAGCTATTTTCAATTTGGTGTTGCATAAGTTCGAGCAGCGGCCAGCCGAAATGAAAGCTGCTGCAAATCTCATTTACTCACTTTTATAGTCTATTTTTGTGGTTTCTTCTGCTGGCAAATCCGTATACAAATCCGAGTAGCAGTCCGCATCGTGTGCTCCGCACTTGACTTAACCCCAAATTGAGAATCCATCCGTTTTCCTTACTTTTTTTTTTTTTGTTTTGTTGCTCCCTTTTTTCGGAAATGGTTTCTGTGGCTGCCTTGCCTGTCCGTGTCTGCTGCTGTTGCTGTTGCTGCTGCTGTGGTCATGCCCACTTGATGCGTATTTAATTAACGTTAATTGAAATTGATTTATGTATGCAGTGTGCGTACGCTCACTCCCTCTACCTATCACTCCCCCCCCCCCCTTCCTCACTCCTGCTATGCTAGTCCCCTTTTGTTGGCCGTCAATCGAAAAATATGCTGCGTGAAATTTGCGGCAAGTTGTTGAGTGTCGCCAGAGTCGTCGAGTCGCCGCTCGCCCAACATTTTGCTGTACATTGGGGCATGAAAAATTTGCGGCATCATTAAATTGATTAGGCAAAATAGAAAATGTTGGGCTTTTTGTGCCGCTGATTTCAAACAAATTAATATATTCAATTGAAAAGTGTTTTTGCGGATGCTGGAAAAAGCGTAAAAGAAAATGGAACAAAAGCAAACAGAAAGCAGCTCAATTTTTAGCCGCGTTATATGTAGCTGCTTTTGGGTCTTTATATGCGGTGGAGAGTTTAAGATTATATAATCGTAACGGCAGTAGTTTGATGTAAATTGACTAAACATTTTCCGCTCGTGCAGCATTTGAAGCCAAAAAAATCCTCTCCAGTGAAGTTACACAAAGTTCTTTGACAGCAAACTGGAATTCGCTCGTGTGGTAAATAAAAAGATTCACTTAATCATTTACTCCGAATTTTCCACTATTGCGGGTGAAATTCCCAAAAAACAATTGAATGGTATAATTTCTCAGTTTGTTGTTGAGCTCAATTTTCCATCATGTTTTTAATGTTTTTTCAAAGTATTTGTTACGAATCTGCTTAGAAATGTTGGGAATTTTAGGTTGATCTCTGTCATCATCAAAATTGATTTTTTTGGAACAGTTTTTTTTTTTATTTAACATAAATTAAATTAAATTAAATAAATTAGGCAATATATGTAAATTAAAATAAAAATATTTAAGTTTCTTGGTTGTTAAAAATAAACTAACAACTTGAATATTCTTTGGGATGCAAAGATGCTCTAAAATGCAGACTATAATGCAGACTATCGACTTTCAAAGCTACCGCTTGCTGATTGATACTTTTGAGGCCCC